TTTAGAATTTAGAGCAGGCACTGGAAACAGAATTTAGAAAGGCACTAGTCAGCAAAATTTAGGATCTACACAGAGAGGTTTAATATTCCACATGATTGCACTAGGTGGGAAAATGCCTAGCGTCAGACCAGTGTAGGATGCATTAAGACATATTAGATGAATCTTTTAAATTGCCAGTTTTCAATTTCCTTATTAATCAAAAAATTCCTTTCTATAATGCCTGTCCTTGTGATAAGATTAAAAGCATTTTTAATATTTTCCATACTTGTGTCTAGTGAAAAGTAGAGAAAATAAAGGGAAGATAAGCATGTTAAGAAAAAGATTCTACCATCAGAATTAAAACATTCAAATATTATGTTTTCGTTGTTTTTCCAGATGTTATCCAAAAAGTAAGAAATTCATTGCAAACTTTCTGTAAAATACATCCATTACGTGTTAATAGCATAGCGACATTTTTCATTTTGTCACATTTTTCTAAAATCTTATGGAATCGTGGGTCTATAAATATTCCCTTCAAATCCTTCTAAACTTTCCAAGTTGCATCCTTCTTGAAGTTGTAATGTCTAATGTCCCGAAGAAAAATTACCCTACCAGTTTTGTAACAGCAAACAACCAGAAATATTTTGAAAAAAAAAAAAAAAAGTCAGACGAAAAAAGTGTGAAATCAATTAATTTTATAGAGAAAATTGATGCATATTCTGAGAATTCAGAATACTCAGAGATAATTACATGAGAAAACTCTTATCATGAAAAAATTGAAAAGATATTAAATTAATATGTTACTTTTTAAATATAATTTCAATATAATACCATTATTTTAATGAAATTTATGAATGTTGAAATGTTTAAAAAAATCGTCGAAAAATTCCCAGCTCTAGGAATTTAAAATTTTCTATAGAAACTGATCTTAAAAATCTCCAAAATGTTGATAATTTGCCAAACTTAGATCCATTCAATAAAAGAATTCACATCCCCAAAAGCGGAAAATTGTTTAAGAGCCCTTCATTAGAAAAAGTGAAATAATTTCGAAATACTTGCTCAGAAACTCGAGTATCCCACCATTTATATTAGAAATAGGAACAAATCATAACCCATTCAAATAAACCATATTTATCAGTGAATTGCCAAAAATATACCTCCAAACTGCTAATTCACACTCAAAATGGCAGTCGTAAAAACAGACAGAAATTTCACGATTAAAATTAAGGACCATCTGCCGATTTTGGCCAAAACTAAGGACTATTAAGGACTCTTAAGGACCGTACGGACCCTGCTAAAAACAACTTTCACATCATATATAACAATTAATTCCAACTCAAGAACCATTTAAAGTTTTTTTAATTATAATATTCATCATAAAATTTCCAAAATATACACACTATTTTTTATGTTATAACAAAAGAAAAAACAAGAAAGAAAGGAGAAGTACATACTTTCATTAATTGCTTTTCCATGTCCTCAATGCGAGACTTTAAATTTTTAATATCTGTCTGGAAGCCAGATATTTCTAAGCGACGAAATCTTTCCAAATTTTTCAAACTCTTTTTTTCCAGTTTCAGTTGTTCAGTAAGCGAGGCATTTCTAGACTGTAAAAGACAAATATAACAAATAAACAACAGGTGTGTGAATTCCTATTATTTTAAATGTCTACTTTTATACAGTAAGATGTTAACATGCTTGTATTATAGTATAAACAATAAAACTGAACATTTTACTATTTTTTTTCATAAATTTATTAAAAATAATATTATTATTAAAAATAATATGAATAATACCAGTTAGAATCACACAATACTTAAATTGTTTATGCTTCCCGTGAACTTATACATTACTATCACTGATAAGTTCAAAAAATAAATATTATGTACCAATACATTTTCATTGGCTGGATTCATTATCTATTATGCCAAGATACATAGCAGCTACCTGATATGGAAAAGTAATACTCATGGAAGACTTTCTAAGAGAAACTGCTCATTCTATTTTAGATACAAAAAATGCACAAAGTCCCTATAAACAATTTATTCCTGAAAATGAGTCTCAGATGGAAATATCGTTATTCAGTGGTCTTACCAATTGACTCTGTGGGTCTAATGTTTTTCTAGAAAATATAAATAAAAACTGAATACAGTATAATTACACACTATCTAACATATCAACTAGACAAGAAATTTATAGCTATATATGAAATAACTGAGCAAAATTTGCTCGATTTAAGATGTTAACTGCAGTGATACTTGAAAATTAATAACAATTATATATTTCTGCAGGGAAAAAACATGAACACTTTTATAAATATTTCTAAAAGCTATTATAGAACTGCTAAAAATAAATTTAAACAAAGAAGGAGCAATGATGAAAATAATGCAATTTACTAGACGAAGTATAATGACAATAATTTTCAAAATTCGATCACTGCTCAGCTTTAACTTCAACAAAAATGGGATCAATGGTTAATAAGACTACTTGCTCTTTAATAAAAACAAATATGTTTAACAACGGATTAGATCATTAAAACAGGGGGCAGCAACCTTGTCGCTGTGGTTTGCCAAACCAATCTACCAATATGATTCAGAGTGCCACATAATAGGAAATATTTGATACAGTGTGGCTATGCATGCAGAATTAGGGAACAGAAGACAAGAATGCAGATTTAGAGTTTTATTATATATTAATTATTTATCATTTAAAGATATTTATTAACATAAAAATAAACAACATAAACTATAACTATTCCTTACACATAAATAAAAAATTATAATTGTACATACGTTTACATAATGTATCTTTAAAATATATTTATTAATATAAAAATAAATGACATAAAATATAAATACTATATAATAATAATAATAAAACTAACTAGTGGCGTAACAGCCCTGAGTGGCCAAGGCCACTAATGGGTAATGGTAAGTAATGGGCCAAGGCCTGCAGTGCCCGAAATCTGCTTTCTTGACCGTGGTCCCCAGGATGCGTAAGCATATACCCTGAACAAGTGGTCAGTTTGTCACAGGTCCCCAAGCAAACTTGGTAGTCATTTTATTGACCCAAGAGATGGAAATCAAGGGATGAAAGGCAATGCGCTAGCCACTGCGCCACTACTATATTATAATAGTATATATTGATAACATATTATAATACTGGCAAATTAATTTAAATTTTAATGCGAACCTAGTCTATGTACCACTCTACATGATATCGCAAATCAGGGGGCTTAATCTGTGACTTTTCAATTTGACACATGATTCTCAATATCCACTTGTTAAACAATTTCTTTTTGAACTCAAAATATTTTTCATATGAAAAAAGATTTGTTCACAGAGATATGTGGAACCAAACACGGAGGGCAGAGCACATGCAATTTTCTTTAAACAGTTAAATCTCTCCAGCACTGACATCCAGTAATTTAAAATGGCTAAAGTTGTCTTCCGGATTTATTTGTAATTGGTAAGTTTTGCATTCTAAATTATGAAAAGGTCTGTTCAGTAAGTTTCATTTCAAAATTATCAACTTCCATCCACGCAAAAATTCACAAACTGGATAGGATTGTTAATGGGGTCTATTAAATCTGGCTTGATTAGGAAGGAAAAAACATAAGCATATAAGCTTCAAAATCTTTGCATCGTTTGGAAAATTCCTCATTAAGTGCTTTAATGCAGGTTTGAAGTTCATCTTTAACTAAGGTCTTTGTATTTGCAAGTGCTTTAAATTTGGAAAGTATTTATAGATACTAGTATTAATATCACAAGAAAATATATTTAATTTTGTAGCAAAACCTTTCTAATATAAGAAAGTTCAAGCACTGTTTGGCCCTTTCCTTGAAATTCTTAGTTCACAGAGATGTTTAGTTATGTCATTCAGAAAAACAATTTGCATAACCATTCCTTATCATTCAATTTGGGAAACCGTCGATTCTTTTCATTAAGAAAAACTTTAATGTGTACATGCATAACACAAACTTATTCAAGATATTACCTCAACTAAGCCAATAAACATGGCTATATCAGATGAGATCTACATATTTGCTTTTCACTTCCTCTAAAAGAGATTTGAATTGTCTGTGTACCAACAAAGAACGAAACACTATGAAATTATCTATTTTAACAATAATGTTCATTCCACAAATTAAGTGCATTGATGAAATTCTGGAAACAACTTTCCTGATGGCGCATGAAGAGACAGGGCAATTTATCTTTGCCTGATAACTTTGCAGAGTGCAGTAGAATGCCACTGAGAATTGTACCGCATGCCAGACAGGTTGTTGACACCTGGGTTATAACATGACACATTATCATTACTGTGATTTCAATAAAAAAAGCTCGATGTAGTACCATAACTCATTCTGAAAAATATAAATATGTTTATTGTATAAAAATGTATCTTTACGATTTAAAAAACAAAATGTCACAGAACTTGTGTTGTTGGCAGAGGAGAGTTTATGTAATTTAAGAAAAGCTCTAAATGACTTACGCCCCCCCTTTTTTTCTATTTAAAGATGATTCTAAATAAATGACAGATTTAAACAATTATAAAGGTGAGCAGTTAAAAAGGAAGTGAGTGTGTGTGTGTAATCTAACTATAATTGATTTTTGTTATTTCTTCTCTAAGGCATATGTGAATGTTCTGGGCAATCGAATCTAAAATTCATTAATTAAATAAAGAACATTAATTATACCAAAACAAACAGCTGCATGGAGTATGCTTTTAAATGGCAATAAAATTTAAATTTCATCACATTTTAAATTACCATGCAACAAGGTTCATTGTTAAAAATTAATTCTAAAAAGATTTAAATGTAAAGAAATCAAGTAATATCATGCAAAATAGGTTATTCTAAGTTGCATTGAATGACCTAAATTTCTTATACAACATCAGAGGCTAAAGCTACAATAAAAACATCTTTTTTCTTCTCTCTACAGTCCAGAAATCCCCCTTAAAAAAATTATTAATGCCTTAATTTATTTTATTTCACAAATATTACCCTTCTTCACAAGTCTGAAATAATAAGAGTAAAATGATTTTGATTCAAGATATCAATTGCAAGGAAATCCCTAGTCTGTATCAAACCAGAAGCCTTGTATTAGGACAGCAGATAACTGCTTCCTCTTCCCCAATTCATATTTGCTCATTTCACATCTCTATGCATCATTTTAATACAGTTGCCTTCACTTTATAAAAGTCGAGTATACCTGTGAAAACTTTTATAAACCGAACAACAAAAAGCAGTTACCACTAATTTATCCACGGAAAAGACATGAGCAATTTTAGATTTTTCCTTCCTTCCAAAATTTTAGCAAATCACACCAAATAACTCAAACCTTAAATAATATACTAAATCAATGATTATGTGATAAATGTGCAGCCCATATATAAGAGTAAAATTTGAACAATTTGAATTTCCCTTTCTAGAATTTCCAAAACAGCAAACATAGTAAATTTTAGAAAATCAAAGAAGATTTAGAGTTGTTGGCAGTGACAGTGGAAAACAATGCAATGTTCTAAACTGAGCTGTTAAATATTAAGTAGTGGAAAATAAAGGTTTGATTTACTTGATTATGGCAAAGCATGTAAGACTTAGCTGCTAAAGGGTAGGGATGCTTTCATATTACTTTCTACAGGAAATCAGCTCTTATTTGCATTACACATAGGGAAAATCACGGCACCCATGCGGCTGGCCTGCTTGTTGGGACATAATGGATACTAAGATGCAAGTCAGAAATGAAGATCATCTACTAATATCTCAACACTGTTTGGACTACAGGTAAATAAATTTGCAATTTCTATATTTTTCTGTCTGTAAAGTTGAAAAATATGACAGTACATTCAGATGCTTTAATTGACACATTTTTTTTTGCATAATACATCTTTCATAGACAATCAAATTATTATGAAAACTACCCTAAATTTGCACCCCTTTTAAATGCAAATAAAAAAAAGGGGGGATTATCTTTGGATTTCTTTTATTAATGAAAACAAGTACAATGAACCCTATCAAGATACACCCAAAATTTCAGATACATTTGATCTGTGGAAGTGATCATCTTAGAGAAGTATGTTCAATACTGGTGCTTGTGCACGCAGAGTCACTTCCAGAAGTAGTCATTTAAGAGATGGATTCATCACAAAAGGGTTCATTGTGTTATTGCAGTTCTTTTGTAAAAGCGAAGTGGTGTAAAAGTAAACTTTTATAAAACTGAGATACATGTAATGCTCCCAATACTCAAAACTTTCCTTTATTATTACATGGGAGTTCGATTGAATAATAGTCATAAGATGCCATAAGTGTTCCTAGTCACTAATATAACATTATTTAAGTCTGCAAAAAGACTGCTGCTTTTCTCTTGCAGAAACCGTCTCTATCTTAAAGAATATTACACTATTTCTAACATTTCATTCATTTTATACATACATTGTTCATTTTTCATTGTTATAAATATTTTTCTCTAATATCATATTGAAATTAGGGTTATTAATGAAATCAGGCTATCTCACAGTTCCCTTAAATGAAAGGAAGAAATATACACTTCTCATTATGAATATGAATCTAAAAATTCATGATTTTTTTAATTATGATTTTCCTCTTATTATAGTGAATTGGAACCATATCTACAACATATCAAAGTAAAGGCTACCTACCTGCCTATTAGCAAGGGTACCTATTTATTCGTAAGGAAAAATTTATATTGGATGCCTTAAAAGGATATGCAGTAAATTAATTTTATCATGGCGTACTTATATTATATCTTGACATTTAATAAAGGTATAAAAAAGAATAAAATTTAAAATTTAGTAGAAATTGGCAAATCAAGAATACCTCTAATGATTGTAATGTTTCTTTTAAATTTTCTCTCTCCTTTCCTAAAGTAGAAGTAGCACTTTCAGCCTGCTGCCTACTGAGTTTTGAAATATTTCTTATTTCTTTCAGTTCTTGCTCCATAAGCTGGGGGAAAAAGAAAGCACAAATGAAATTTTAAAAATCTAAATTAATAAGCATTCATTTTACACAATGAATATTTGCAGAAATTTTGTGATTGCCCAAAATATTTTAAATTAAAAAAGGGGTTAACAAAAGTTAAGGGGGGGGAAGTGTTACAAAAATTTGTGTATACAATGAACTTAATATACACATTATGTTCAGATAAACAGAATAACAAATGATCAGGAATGAAGGGCTGTATTCACTCGATTAGGAAGATGGATGGGTTAGGGTAATTAATAAACAGGTGACAGTCAGGATACTTTGAAAAATCAGTTTCTTGGATAGCTAAAGAGATTTTAACATTATAGCATGTAATATGATAAAAAAAAGATTTAGCTCTTTCTGATTGCCACATACCTAGCTTGAATATTTGATAGAACTACTGTAGCAACATTTGGTAGAATTCCTTTCTGGCCTATTTTTGGGTATGCCAATCCACACAGGCATGTACCACATATCTGTTTGAGTATACATGGATTTATGTGTTTTATATTTAGCTGTCATTTCACTGAATAATATCCACTGGCTGTAAAAATATATATATCATTCATACAGAGCGTTTTTTCCTCATATAATTACTTATTTCTAAAAAATGCTTCCTTTTATTATTATTTATATATAGAACAATATTTAGCCAAATAAAAGCTTTTCATCAATTGACAAAATTGCCAATCAGTTGCTGAACTTTAAGGCAGGGAAAGACTACCTATTTCATATATTACTTGGATTGAAATTTGATGAAACAATTAGTTATTTATTTAGGGAAAAGTCTCATTTGACAATAAAGAACTTTGTCTTGATGTCTCACAGTACTCAAAGAACCATTAGCAAATATATAGAGGTTACATAACAAGATTTCTGCCCAAACTAGAATACTATCTCCTCTGTAAGTAACCTCCTTCTGAGAATGCTAGACTGATTACATTCCTTTTCTGCTTCTCAGATCATAGCAGAATATCAGTTACAGTGGACCATCTATGAATATTACCAAACTTCGCTGTTATCTGCATCATGTGATATGTTCACTTCTACCTTTCATTAATGAACCATCCATGTAAAAATATATCAGGGGAACAAACACAGAATTTCATTTGCCAAACAAGTTTTGTATGTGAAGCACTCTCCCTATTGAAATAGGATCTCAATATCATTTATTGCTACAAAATGAGTCATAGAAAGTTGAGATGCATTCACAATTTTTTTCTGGTTAAGAGAGTCAGAATGCAATTGTTAAAAGGAGTAGTACCAGGCATAAAAACTGGGACTACTTTTAAAACAGCAAACTACGTAAGGAATTGATTCCTTTACATGCTGATTTTACTTTAACTCACATCTGTCTTACCATTCAGTTTATGAAAGACCCATTTCTATCCAGTCAACTCCTCACATTCCAAGCAATATAGGTAAAGATTTTTCCAGGATACAGTATGCAAAACTTCACATACAATTTTTCAATTAAAAAAAAGGGGGCGTGGAAATATATAGCATGTACTGATGTCAATATAATTAGACATGAATTCTTAACATTCAGAGCAGCATTAATATAAGAAACATAATTTACATTCCTAATTCACTATTTCAATTAATTTTTGATTAAATTTTATATAACTCATATTTCAGAAACTATTTTTAGAAAAAAAGAGCTTTGAATTCAAGAATCTTACTTTAAGTTCTGTAGTCAATTTCCGATTATTTCCTCGCAAGTCTTTCAGCTTTTCTTCGCTTAATTTATGCCCCAGCCCTTGTGTACAATATTTGCATTCATATGTACCAACAGATTTGACTTTATCTTTGTTTGCATCAACAGTAGTGAGCATTTCTTTAACAGCAAATCATCAAAATCTGAAACTTTAACTTTCTTGACAAATCAGCAAACCAATTAGCTTTATCTGTTTCTCTCTGAAGTTCTTCTTGCCTCAGTTTTTGTTTCAGAGATAGACATTCATTAATACTCTCTCGAAGCAATTCTTCAGTTTCTCGAAGCCTATAAAAATAATATGTATATCACCAGTTTTTCCAACACAAAGAAAATTTAAAATAGCGCTTGCTTTTCATTACATAAATAAGTATGAAATAAAAGTACAATAGACATATTCAATAGATATACATTTGACCAGCTATTTTTTTTACCAAATATTTTGTTTAATTTAAAATTAGATATTTGGATGCTTAGTCATTAGACATGAAGTTTATTTTAGTAATGTGACGTTTTAGACGTGAAGTTTATTTTAGTAAAACTATAGAAAAACTCAACAAGCAATATTTTTACAACACATTGCAAGTATCCATAATCGCTGAATTTTAGTAAATAGTAGTAGAAATAAACGGAAAAATAAAGAATGTTTTTTTAAAAGGTTCAGAAGAAAAGTTTCAATTGGAAACTTTTGGACTTTTAAAGATAATGCAATTGAATTTACTTGAATCTTCTATCAATTTTAGTTTATATTTGAATATTAACAGCATAAAATTTGCTAAAAATAATATTGAAATTCATGAACAAAAATTTTGTAAAACTTTGAATGTATTAGAAATTGGAATCATTGAATATTTGTATAGCACAAAACGAACTCCTGGAAAGATGAAAAATGTTCCAGAACATAATTATTAATTTTTAATTATTTATTTTTAAATTTTGCATACATATGTAAAAATATTAAGTATACTTGCTAAAAAATCTGGGACATTCATCCTAAAATGCAAAACTGCATTGTTATTTGCCAGATGACTGCAGTTAATTAGGTCCCATTTGCAGAAGATCCAAAATTTCCATAATGTTATGAAGATAACTTAGCCACTAAAAGAACTTTCTAGTCAAGAAGAGTTTGCTCTTGTTTTAAATAAATGTAAGAACAGAAATTTAATTTAAAATACAAGAAGACATTGAAACGAGATGGATAATAAGCCACTTAATCAGCATTAAAAAATTTTATACCTTTACATGCTGCTTTTATATCTTTACATACATACAATGAAATATGAATTTTTCAGAGCATTAATAGTCACTAACTGAAAACTGTTTTCATTTATTTGCCCTTTCTGAAAATATTACTAAAATATGCCCATCCAAACCAGTAATTTAAAAAATTATTCTAATAATACTAACATTAAATTGATATTTATTCTCAAAGTGTTGTGAATTACTTGGAATCCTAAAAGATACATTGAAAGGAAACATAGACAAGCAATTCTAAATTATTCAACTAAACCAACATTTTTCGGTAATAAATTACTGTGGATTCAAAATTTAAAAATCTCTCCATCTCCTCAATCATCAAGTAATGATTAGAGTACCAAGTATTACATATTATAATTAACTATCAAGATTAAAGTGAAGAATATGATAAAAATATCAAACTCTTCTGAATGATCAGACCATAACTAAAAATATTTTTGAGCCTTTAGTCATAAACACTTTTAGTAATGATACAGAAGATCATATCAGCTAAGCCACAATTCATCTTTAAATTAACATAGGTTTACATGAAATTCTACTGCAAATGGGACCAGCAAGGGGGGTTTCTTTAAAAGTTATGAAGTTTTTTCACAAAATAAATTCCAGTTTAAGTTTAAAAAAATTCTATAACTTGTTCACAATTCATACGATCTTTTATTGAGTGAAAATCTGTTTTACGTTACCTCCCTGATTCAAAGATATAAAATAACCTGAAGCAATCTATAAATTAAGCTATGAAATAACTTGAATAAAAAGCATAACAATTTATACATGAAAGCTAGTTTACCAAGAGGATAATGAAAAGTATAACAACATAAAAGTATACATTTATGTCATATATGAAAAACAAAACATTTGCAAGAAAATATGTGATCATATGGTAACAACATACTTTTACCCTAGTTTAGGAACTAAAAAGTTGCACAAAATAAAAAAAAAAAAATTCATAAAAAAAGTATTTATATATTATCTCATCAGCTGTGAAATTATCGCCAAGCAGCACCATTAAGTGTCAATTATGGATAAGTATAATGTAACAATACACTTATAACATCTGCACTTTCATGAGGTAACCTCACTTGATTGCTGATCAGCCCGCCTTTAATTTTTTTGAATAATTATAGGAAATTTTTATTATCCTATAATTTTCTACAGATATAAATTAGATGTTATTGATGAATTTTTTTCTTGTACTTTAGGGGAGGGGATTTAAAATTAGGGACCTGTTATGGATTTTGGTATTTTCAACATCAATTAGTTTAAGAAGTTCAAGGTTCAAAGTTATGGGATTCTACCTCCCCCCCCCAAAGGAGTGAATTAAGGGACATGATATGGTCAGTTGTATATGACAGACAAAACAGTAATAGAATGAAACAGTTATCTGCAAGAAGTTTGTACTCACAGTGTTCTAAACGGAACATTTGGTAAAATCGGAAAGACTAATAAAATAGCAGAATTTAACAAAAGCCTTCTTAAAGTGTAAAAATAAAGATGGCTGTTGTTTATTAAATAGAAAGGCATGAGTTTTTTCAGAATTTCACATAAACGATTAGTGCAACTTCAGCAGGATATCGATTGAATGGAAGCTAACTTTCATAGCACAAGATAATATATTAATTATTGAAAAATAATATAACTACAAATATTTTCAAGGTTACACATGCTGCACTACTGAAGCTTCTCAGAAATATTGGAAAAGTCATCATGGGGGTCATCATATGGAAAATCATGCCCTATTGCAAATGAATAAAATTAATCCTTCAGAAATAATTTATCTACTGTTTTTGATAAAAAAATTGCTTTCATAGTAACTGAAAATTAATTCTTTATAGATGTATTTAGCACTTAAAACATTTCAGTGATTGCTTTAATACTTGTTTAATGACCTAGTCAGGATAGAAAACAGTTGGCAATGATGTAGTATGTGATCTATCATTTTTAATTCTTTACTTATTAAGATGGCACCACTAAAATACTATTCTTATAATGAAAGCAAATACAAATAATTAACAATACATAAATAAAAATGATTCCATTAATTTATAATATATTAAATTTTTAATTTGAATAGTTCAATTTCCACTTTTACAAAACAAAAACAGGAGTAATACTTAAAAGGACTGTTTTTACAACAACAAAAAAAAAAAAAAAAAAGTCTTCACTTTTATTAACAGATCTGTACCATGCTTCTGTGACATAACATGAAAGGAAGCATTTGTGGTGAAGTACTCCAGATTTCAATAGCTTCATAATTCAATAATAATAACTTTATAAAATAAAAATTCAATAGATTTCATATTTGAATGAAAGATAACATGATGGGAAACACAAATGATTAAAACAACTACTAATAACAGGGTTCATAGCCACATTTTAGTTAAAAAAATAAGCACCTATAAGCACTTTTCAAGCACATTTTAAGGAAAAAAATAAGCACTTCTCTATACATTACACACAACTGCATAACCTTAAAAATTAGACTTGTAATTTTATCAGGTTCAATGTTCTGCCTTACTTGCTTGGGGAACATTCATGAACCTGACTCGGAACAGGGAGCTTACTAAAGCTATGTTCAATAAATGTGGGAAGTAGACAAGATACACAGGAAGGGTATATGAAACCCTTTATTTTTCACTCTTTACAATAATTTCCATACTTCGGAATACAGAGACCAACTACTTGTGGTCTGAACGTAAGAATATAAAAATATTAACTAAATTCTAACTTAAATTTGGAATAATAAACAAGGGCCTACGTGGAAGATTGGCCGTATATTAACAGGAAGCCGTATGTAGTACAGAGAACTGTTAACACTACAATACGTTTAAAATTTTCAAGAGGATTAAAACCTCTGGCCTGGAAGGCAACCAGCAACCGAGTAAAACTGCTAAGGCAAGCGGCCTGCTTCAACTAACTGCCTTCCTCTCTTCTCGCTTGGCAAAAGCCACAACTTAAGTACTTGGCGTTCGCCAGACAAATTTGCATAAATAAGTTAAAGCTTATAATTCTGGCCGGAAGTAGAAAATAAGAAGTGATAGTAAAGATTTAAAATAAAATAAACGTTAGTAAAACTTAAGATCCTTACATACTTCCCGCCAGAGTTAATTAGTTTGAAACTGAGGTCTAAAAAACGACCTTGTTGAAAACTTTTAGCTCTAGAATCTAGCGCGAAGCCAATCTTTTACAAACATTTCTCACTAGAAACTAGAAATTTAAAAAAAATTTGTTTTTACATTATCAGCTCCATGAACAACCACTTTTCATCTGTACTGCATCTAAACAGGAGCTTTTAGTTCAAATCTGGTTCCTTCCAGAGATCTGGAAGAAAAACTAGTTTAATAAAATGTTACACAATTAAATGGCAAGTAACATGAATATTTATATTTCTCTTAACATTCTTATTTCATTCATGACTTTATTTAATTATCTCTCCCCGTGCTCTCTGACATGTGTTGTAAAAGAAAACACCAAACACGAATGTGTTTATGTATACGTGTTCAACACTGCCTCCTACAATCAAAACACTAACGTGTTAAAATTCAACATAACAAGACCTCGTAACACACCATATCTTCATCTCTAAACCCTGAGGTACTATTCTGAAAGTGGCTAACTCTGAAGTGTAGCGTCAGAGAGCCTAACTACATTCATTCAACCTTTAACACATATTCACCATGACTTTTCTCTTTTTTTTTTTTTTTCAGTCACACGAATAAGTTTAAAATTTTTTGGCATTACTTTCACTTTTACCATATAACAGGTATTTCTTAACATTTAAAATAACAGTTCACATTGTATATAAGAACATATTAACATGCCGTTAATTTTACGCATTTTAAAACATACATTAGTAGTACATTGTTAACATTCTATTCTTTTCCAAGCAAGTGCCAATTTTTCTACATTGAAATACTACATTTCAAAAGTCTTTCACGCTAAAACTTCTTTCTTGCCAGAATGTTTTAAATAAAATTTATACAATAACTTTTGCAATATTCAAGTATTTACACATTCCTATTATACAT